AGGGAGGATGCAGGACCTGTAGGGTCCATAGACCATCGCTCATAGGAAGTATTTACTTGGCAGAATAGGACAGATGAGTCTTATACAGCCGCCATACCACATAGTGTTCTGTAGACAAAAGTGAAAGTCTCGTTTCCTGCCGCCACATTTGAGTGTCGTCACATCTGAGAGTTATTTTGTTTTTTCTATCAGTTCTTATTAACATATTGAGATTATGTTAAGTTAATGGAATTTTATTGTCGATAGACTGAACAAGGCTGTGTCGTTCACATAAGAACATAAGGATGGAGAAAACTGCAACGGGCCTTTTGGCCCATACTGGGCATTCCCGTTTACACCCAACCCCTATCGCTAATATATCTGTCCAACCTGTAATTAAAGCTACCTAGCGTGTTCGACATAATGATGTTCGGTAGCTTGTACCACTCATCCACTACTCTATTTCTAAACCAGTGTTTACCTATCTCGCGCCAAAATGTAAATTAGTTAAATTTAAAACCATTGCTACGAGTTCGCTTCTGGTTTGATAGTTTGAGTACCTTTGATATATTACCCTTGTTTAACCCTGACTTCCATTTATCTTGATCATATCGCCCCTAACTCTTACGTCTCTCGAGGGAATGCAATTTCAGATGCTTTAATCTGTCTCTATACTCAAGGTTCCTAATTCCCGGGATTAATCCTGTCATCCTCCTCTGTATGCTTTCTAGGGATTCAATATCCATTCTGCAGTACGGTGACCAAAACTGAAGTGCATAGACCAAGTGAGGTCTCACAAGCGCAAGATAAGATTTAGGATAACCTCATAAGTCTTGTAACTAACACTCCTTTGTATGAACCAAAATATTTTGTTAGCCTTGTTTCGAGCAAATGCGCATTGCTGTCTTGGTTTAAGATACCTACTTATCATTACCTCTATATCAACCTTGTTCGTCTGATGGCTGGTTTTCTGTTTATGCATATCTTAGGTTAAGTACTTTACATTTGTCCACGTTAAATTTCAACTGCCATATATCAGACCATGAGAAAAATATATTTAGATATTCCTGTAGTTTTGCGGAGTCTTCGTCAGATTGAATTACACGCCTCATTATAGTTTCGTCAGCAAATTTACTTATGTTGCTTTCTAGGTCTATATCCATGTCATTTATGTAAATTATAAATAGTAATGGTCCAAGTACTAAGCCTTGGGGTACTCCACTGGTGACATTAGCCCAATCGGATTTGTCAGACATGAACGCCCATTTGTAAAGACATGCTGGGAATTATTGATCAATTTGTTTCTTGTGTTGATATCGAAATCAGACTGAAATTATTGCTACCAGTAATATGACTAAAATTGATGTTTAACTAATTGGACGGTAGTTAGAGCATAGTGATCTATCTCCCTACTTGAAAATCGGTAGTAGTAGTGAAGTGTAGAAGTAGTAGTGTCGTGGCAGTGTCGTAGTAATGTCGTACTAGTGTCGTAGTAATGCCATGGTAGTGTCGTAGTAGTGTAGTATTAGTTTCGTAGTAGTGTCGTAGCATTTTCGTAGCAGTATCGTAGTAGTGTTATAGTAGTGCAGTAGTAGTGTAGTAGTAGGATCGAAGTAGTGCAGTAGTAGTGTAGTAGTAGCATTGTAAAAGTGTAGTAGTAGTGTAGTAGTAGGATCGAAGTAGTGCAGTAGTAGTGTCGTAGTAGTGTAGCAGTAGTGTTGGAGTATGTATGTATATTATGTATGCTGTATGTATAATATGTATGTACTCTATATATATATACATTACTTCTCTAGTCAGTAGCATGTGGCAATACCCGTTTCATGTCACCACACGCTTAGATAAATGTGCTTGGCGACATCTGGAAGCTGCTAATGTACCACTTACCACATGTCGCCTGAGAGGTCAGAGAGAGGTCAGTTGACCCATATAGGAGTGTAAGGACTACCTGTGCTTGCAAGCGCACCCTTGTATATTTCCGTTGAATAGAACCTACAGAACTCAACAGGTGTTTAAGTTCGCTCCTGTAGTTAGAACCAAGTACCCCAAACATCTCCAGAGTAGTGTAGAAAGAACATAAGAATGGAGGAAACTACAGCTGGCCCATTGGCCCATACTGGGCAGTCCCATTTACACCAAACCCCTATCGCTCATATATCCATCTAACATATGTTTGAAACTATCCAGCATATTCGAGTTAATGACAATGTTTGGTAACTTGTTCTACTCATCCACTACTCTATTTCCAAACCAATGTTTACCTATTTTGCGCCTAAATTTAAATTTGTCTAATTTAAAACCATTGTTACGAGTTCGCTCCTTGTTGGATAGTTTGAGTACCTTTGTAATGTCACTGTGTTTAGCCCTGACTTCCATGTATACACCTCGATCATATTGCCTCTCACTCTACGTCTCTCGAGGTAGTGCATATTAAGATGCTTTAGCCTGTCTCTGTACTCAAGGTTTCTAATGCCCGGGATTTGTTTTGTCATTCTCCTGTGAATTCTTTCTTGGGATTCTATATCCAATTTGTAGTATGATGACCAGAATTGAACCGCGTAATCCAAGTGAGGTCTCACAAACGCAAGATATAGTTTTAGGATGACCCGCTAGTTTTGTAACTAACACTCACTTTGTCTGAACCCAAGTACTTTGTAAGCCTTGTTTCGAGCAAATACACATTGTTTACTTGGTTAAAGATTCCTACTTATCATTACTCCTAAATCTTCCTCACAGTCGGATTTCTGTACAACATCGTTGTTCATAAGAACATAAGAAAATAAGAAGTCTGAAATAGGCCAGTTGGCCTGTGCATGGCATCTCCTGTCGAGAATTACTACCACTCTCTATCATCCATGAATCTCTCTAGCCTCCTTTTAAAACATTCCAGCGTTCCAGCAGTTACTACAAAGTTGCTTAACTTGATCCACTCCTCTATCACCCTATTTGTGAACCAGTTCCTTCCTATCTCCCTCATAAACCTAAACTTATCCAACTTAAATCCGTTGCTACGACTCCTATCCTGTTCGGATATTATATGAAATTTATCTTTATCTCCTTTATTGATTCCTTTCACCTACTTTAATACTTCTATCATATCTCCCCGCACTCTTCGTCTTTCTAGGTAATGCAAGTTTAGTTTCTTTAACCTATCTTGATATGGAAGGTTCCTAAGTCCCGGAATCACTTTCGCCATTCTTTGCTGCACCGCCTTCATTTGGTATCTCGTTTCTCTGTTTATATCTCCTAGACTAAGTACTTTACATTTGTCCACATTGAATTTCATCTGCCATTTTTCAGACCATTCGAAAAATTTGTTAAGATCTTCCTGTAGTTTGTCAGATTTAATTACATGCCCTATTTTAGTATCATCAGCAAATTTACTGATGTTGGTGTCTACGACGATGTAGGTGTTGTTTATGTTTATGTATATAATAAATAATAATGGTCGAAGTACTGAACCTTAGGGAACTCCACTAGTGACGTTACTCCAATCGGATTCAGTGCAGTTAATGCTCACTCGCTGTTTCCTCTCCTGTAACCACGCCCTAATCCATTTTAGAATATCTCCCTTAATGTCATGAACCTCCTCTTTTCGTATTAGTCCTTTGTGGGGGATTCCAAGGTCGAGATATAACACATCATAATCGTGCCCATCGTCCATTGTATCGAAAATAGCAGAAAATATTTTTTAATAGATTAGTCAGACATGAACGACCGCTTGTGAAGCCAAGTTCAGAATCATTGATCAATTTGTGCTTCTCCAGGTGATTTCGAATAGAGTTTGAAATTATTGCTTCCAGTTATTTGCCTACAATTGATGTTAAGCTGATTGGATGGAAGTTAGAGTATAGTGATCTACCTCCCTTCTTGAAAATCAGTATTACATTCGCTATCCTCCAGGATTCTGGTACTACACTCGTTTTTTATGACATTTCAACAAATTTGCTAAGGGCATACGAAGCTCTTTCTTACATTCCTTTAAATACTCTGGCAAATATATCATCGGGACCTGGTGACTTATTAGGCTTTAGCTTATCGTTATTAGTCACTACTATCTCGCTTTTTTTTAAGGTAATTAGCCCACCCGGGCACATGTCAAACGACCCACAACGGGGCCTGGGGGACGAAAAAGAAGAACAAAAAGAAATTGAAAATAGAGAAGAAAAAGGTTATACTGTGTTAATCTACACCGCGAAGATGCCGGAAAACCAGCTTTTTAAAGTGAGACAGGTTGTATAAGTATGGAAACACGGAAGAAGGCAGAGCATTCCACAGTTTGGCTGTGTGAGGAAAGAAGGAGGTACTCTAACGGGTTATTCTCGTGTGATCGACATCCACAGAGAAACGGTGGGCACCTCCTAGTCACAGGCCTGGCATTTGACATTATTAGGGACCTGCCACTCTTTGCCATAAACAGATGAAATGTACCGGGAACTTTCCCCCCACACACTCCTCATTCTCTCACTTTATGTAACTTGACAAAACCTATGACCCTTCAGGCTTTTACGCCCTTAATGTACGAGTCATAAAGGCAAGTATGAACTTTTCATACTTCCCTGTTGCGCGCTGTAAACGCTTCTGCGCTTCACCTTGCACAGGATGTAAGGGGGTGCCCAATAAACTAGCCCCCTCGGGGGCAAATCTGAATCTGAAAACGGTGGGCACCGCGGGTAAGACGTGTGTTACGAACCCACGGCCTTGCCGGCGGTACACAGGATGCCAAATCCACCGAACATTGCCCGTTAAAGTACCTGTAAAAGAGAGAGAGTGAAGCAACATTGCGGCGAAGAGAAAGAGAAGAGAGATTGTCGACTAAAGGAGGAGAGTTGATAAGACGAAACGCGTTTGATTCCACCCTATCTAATATTTGGACAGAAGAAGAGCCACCCCATATACGAGAGCAGTACTCCAAATTAGGACGAATGAATCCCTTATATACTTGGAGTAACTGCTCAGGAGTGAAGTAGCTACGGCATCTGTACAGCATTCCCAACTTTCGGGAGGCAGCTTTAGCTATATTAAGGACTAGCCGAATTACCCGCTCCTTGCGCGGAACATTTTCTGTCGACCATACATGGGGATCCTTCATTTAGGGGACCACATGGGCCATGGATCATGTGTTTCATGACCAGATTATGGAGTTCTTTATCTTGCTCTTTTTTAGGGATTTCTGCAGAAATTGGCAAATCATATTCTTCGGCTTTGATTTTGTGCTCTGGAGCTATCCAGAAAAGAAAGTGTGCATGGGGTAAACCTCTCTTCTGGTACTCAATGGTGTACAGCCATGCTTGTAAAGTACCAAATATTCCCTTCTTCATATGTTCCATAAACTTTTTCACTTTTAATTTGAAGACTCTCGCAACAATATCTGGTCGATCATGACTCTCTTGTCCGGGAGCCAAATTGTCAACAATTTCGGGCCAATGTGGATTACATGTCATAGTGATAAAGTAATCTGCTCTTCCGTAGTGTCTCACAAAGGCCATCGCATCTGACCTTTTTTCATGAAGGTATCGAGGACCACCAGTATAGGTCGCTGGAAGCACAATGCGACGACCAACTTGATTTGGATCTCCATCAGCAGCAAGCAGACTATCACGTAAATCTGAGTAATTTTCAGCACGGAAACTTTGCTGTTCTCTTCTCAAAAACTTCAATCTTTCAGTTTCTATTTTGCAGTATGCATCCACCAAGAATTGCTGGAAGAGTCGCCTTCCAAGCAAGAGGTAGTTCCCTTCTCTGCACATAATATGGAAAGAGTAAAACTGCAACTGTGTAACTTTCCGACCATTTCTCCCTTGCAAATATATGTGGTAGCCGTCTGTTCCATATGGAAAAAAACAATGGATACATCAAAGGATCATAGGATCGATGTAGCTCTGAAATTCTCCTCAATCCACCTTGTTTCAACTGAAGAACAATATCTCTATTTTCTGTAGGCTCATTTGACATTAAAATTGCAACTTCAGCCCCTGTTGGTACATTAAAACGCCGAGCATGTTCTCCCTGGGCACGCTTATTTTCCCAAATTACAATGTTCTTGTCATTTATGTTTCCTTGCCGTACTTGCTCTAGCGCAGTCTTTAGCTCCCTCACATAATGATTATTTTCATTTAACCAGGCTGTAATTCTCTCCAATATATCAGCATTCAAGTTTTGATGCTCTCCTCTTGCTCTCAGTTGATCTTCCAAAGTGTCCAAAAAGTAAACTTGAATGTATCTTGCTCTTCTATCTTCAGGAGACATCAGTGACCCAAGTTGATGGTAAATTTGACCTTGGATTCTTACAGATGGATTCCAACCTTGGACAGATGCATCTTTGTGACCAAAGCTGGTCATGGCAAACAGAGAGTTGTACTCCCTGAGTCTTGACAAAAAGTGTTTGCTGAATTGACTTTCCCCAGTGAACAGTTCTTCAAATAACTGAGGCAGAGGTGGAAATTGATCCAGTGTAACCTTTCCATTTCCACAGCACTTTCCTAGTGATTCTCCAGTAAATTTCTTAGCGCCACACTGACAAAGTTTGGTCATTTCTCCAATTGCAGCCTTGTTACATGGGTCATTTTTGTCATACAGTAATGCAGAACGTTTAGCATTTTGAATCTCACGTTGTCCTAAATTTTGATACCTGTTTCTATCAGCAATCAAGTGCTGTCGTCTCTCTTCTTCAGACTCATTTCTTCTTGCAACTATATGGCGAAATCTATCTTGCTCCTGTCTTTCTTGATGCTCACCCAAGGTTTCATTTTGCCGAGACTCTGTTTGCCTCTGTCTTTGCCTAGAAAGTCGTTCTTCCCTTGCATCACAGCTTTCAGATTGACGACGAAGCCTCATCCTTTGTGCATGTGGAGTATTTGCATAACTGGACTTTCTTTACCGTGGCATAATGGATGTCTGAAAAAAAATAAATAAATGAAAATGTTAAAAAAGTAGAGGCATTAACTTATAATTTTTCTTGCCATAATTCTAGTGATGTTTTGTCATAGATAAAATGTCTAAATTTGCCAAATTTTTCTATAAAAGAGAGGTAATTTTTGTTGTTGTTTTACGTTTAATTAATAGAAAAACCCCGTGATAATAGAGGTTCCAATACTCAAGTTATGGGCTTCCAAAATTTTCAATATAGGGGGGTTTAGCCCCCATTAGGGTGTCTTAATATTATTGAAATTTGCTGATATTTTGTGAATAGGCATCATTTCTGGTCATTTACCTATGGTTTAAATTTCATTGAAAACGAAGTGAAAAAAATTCAGTGGGGAGGGGTTTGTGCCCCCCGGGGACCCCCTTTGATCAAAATGAAATATACTTATCCAAGTACCCTGGGTAATGTAGTTTCAGAATATATATGGTTATGGGGGTCTATCTCCAAAACCCTAGGAGGAGTTCGTGAACAAACAGACAGAGGCTACAACTTTATATATATATAGATGTGTGATTTCCAGGACATATTGGAGGAAATTGTGAGGCCTAACATTTATTTCAAAATTTGTTAGGATGATATCGTCCTGATATGTAATTGGTGGGAGACCGTCTAATTTTTAAAGTGTAACTGATAAATATTGAGTTTTATTACTATTGAACTTAACCAAGTTTGTACCTCCCCATTCAGAGATCCTGCACAGATCTGCATTGATAGAAATAATGATATCATTTCTAGAAACAGATTTAGTTTGAGAGTTAAGAGGAAGGAGAAAATGTGAGGAAGAGTGAAGAGTAGAATCATCAGCGTAAGAATGAATAGAATTAGTTGTAGTGTGAAGTAAATCATTAATAAAAAGAAGGAAGAGAGTTGGTGAAAGAACAGAACCCTTTGGGACGCCACTACTGGTAGAGAAAGAGCGAGAAATCGATCCCTCGACAACTACTGCCAAGGATCGGTTCTCAAGGAAGCTAGAGATGAGAAAACAAAGTGGGCTAGAGAAACCAAAAGAGGGAAGTTTAGATAGCAAAGACTTGTGCCACACCCTGTCAAATGTTTTGGAGATGTCGAGAGCCACGACAAAAGTTTCCCCATAATCCCTAAGAGAGGATGACCAAAGATGGGTGCAATAGGAGAGCAGATCACCAGTAGATCTCGCGTGGCGAAAGCCATACTGGTGATCTGACAAAAGAGAAAGGCGTTCAAGGTGACGGAGAAAATGGGAGTTCAAGATAGTTTCGAAAATCTTAAAGAGGGATGAAGTTAGGGCAATGGGGCGATAGTTAGAGGGATTAGAATGGTCACCCTTCTTCGGGTACGCTGAACCAAGGCATGCTTAATCTATTTCTTCACTATCTCTGTATATACTGTAATCGGTGCCTCGGGTATCATGTCTAAATTTTCGGTTGTGAAAACTGTTGAAAAGGTCTATTCAGATTATTGCTCATTTCTCCGTCCTTATCAGTTAGCTCGCCAGTATCTGACTGTATTGGTTCGATCTTTTCTCCTGTTTTAGTTTGATACATTTGAAAAAATTCCTTGGGGTTTGACTTCGCCTTCCTTGCTACCTTCAGTTCTTTATTCCTCTATGCTTTTCATATCTCGGTCTTAACCCTACTGGCCAATAATTTATAATAATCTAGGAGGTAAACTTCACCACGATTTAATCTCCTACCTATAGCCTTCCTTTGTCCAATAAATTCTTTAAATAAATATTAATCTATTTGGGGTCATTGTCATTCGATGCAAGTTTTCTGAATGGTATGTTTTGCCTTTGTACATTCAGTAACTCATTATTGAAATTGTTGTGGAGCTCGACAATCTCAGATCTCGAGACCAGGTCATCCTCAACCGTCATCTTTTGTTAGGTTATCGTTGTTAGGTCTCCTGGTAAAGTGAGGTCGCCCTCAGTGGGTACAGGGTGTGAGGTAACCTCACGTGAGGTCATGTAATTCACCCCTAAACGTGATACCCCTTCTCTCAGCTGCCTTTTCAAAATATTAAAGTTTACCCAAATGAAATCTGCAACTTTATTGGAATTTTTCTTGCTACTGCCATTAAATTCTAATTTGAATCTTACTTCTTTGTGAGCGTTGTTAGCTAGTTCGTTCCCTACCTCGACATTACTACTGAGGTATTCTCTGTTTGACAGAACTAAATCGAGTATATTATTACCCCGGTTGGGTTTGGCTATATGTTGACTTAGGAAACAGACCCGAACTGTTTCAAGAAAATCCTCTGATTCTTAATTACCAGTAAGGTCGATCCAATCGATTTGACTGAAGTTTAAGTCGCCTACTATACAAACTTTGCTAAGTCTGGATGCCCTGCGTATTTCATCCCAAATAAGTTGCTCGTTAACTTTATCAAGATTAGGAGGTTTATATATTACTCCTATCATCGGCTAATTCTATCCAAATTGTTAATGTATTCAATTCATTTTTTTTTTCCTTACTAGCGGAATCGATGCCCTCCGGGCGGCTCTTTCGCTAGGCCACGGCAGGACACCACCTTCCGGGAGGCTCCACATTGTCTCACTGTAGTGCATTAAGGTTGACCACATTTTTGGTTTTGCCATTAGCAGCAAGTATGTACAGATTTTTGCCAGTTCCCGATCTGGAGCATCCAACATAGAACTGTCCGTGGGAGAAGCAAGGAAATCACCAGGTTTAGGCCAACTATCTTTAGGGACTGTCCCTGGCTTTTGTAGATGGTCATGGCAAAGCTCACTTTAACCAGGAACTGAAGTCGCTTGAACTCAAATGGCAGGTCAGTGGTGATGAGAGGTATCCTTAGTATAAAAACGTACTCTCCTTTAGCTTTTCCTGTCAGTATTGTAGCTTCCAGTACATGTGGCATCTTGTTCTTCTTGTGAGTGACTCGTCTCTCATTTTGAGTATGATGTCTCATTTCTCAAACTCTTGACCGACAATCAGGATGGCTACTTCATCAACTACAGGAGCATTGAATCTTCTTTCATGTTCTCCCTTAATGGGCTGTGTCTGCTTTGATCCTGACTTTGTACTCGTCAGAAGGCATTTTTAAATGACAGTACATACGTGTTGCGCTCATGCAGCATTTCTTGGATAGATGGAAAAATGTCGTGTCTGACACCTTGAATATTGCCACACCTGATAGTAGTCTGATTTTCGTGATCTCCCTTGAAGTAGATTTGGAGGAACTTTGCCTGCTCACGAACTACTTCAGTATATTTTGCAAGAAGTGTTTTGACTCTGGTGTTGTTCCCAGCATGAGAGTCTTCAATGGTTGTGGTGGTTTTTCCAAATTTGGCAGTCGTACTTTCCCATGAGAGCAGCACAGTCCAGCAGATTCTCCTTTATACTTCTTTGCACCTCAGTGTTCACATTTCTTATCCATGTTGCCAATGACAACAGAGGGATACTTTTCATATTCTATCTCATTGTCATAGTTAAATGCTGCTCTTGCAAGTGGATGCCACTGTGTATTCTTTCTTAGAATTCTGGATCCCGCAGCTCTCTGTCTATTAGCATTCAAACGAACTTCATGCGCTTGATCATTTTCTGGAGAACACCTTTCTGCTGTTTG